CGTGGGCAGAGCGTTGCAAGCCTGCTGTGACGGGACCATCTTGCACTGTTTTGCTGCAGCGGATGTTGCACACACAGACACTGCTGACATATGGGACAACACAATCGGCCTCACCCATACGGTGCCTCCTTATTGAAAATAAGGCACCGTGCTAAGTACTTCATGGAGGAGGAGGGCCGTCGAGCATTGTCCACGGTGATCTTTAGAGGGGGTCTATTGATGAGGTAGGATGGAAAATTGCGGAAATATAACATCGTTGTGCCCACCGTTTTGCGGGGCAAAGTAATATGGGCGACGCATGAATGAGTGATGCATCTTGGTGTTCAAAAGACATTGTCGACTCGGAAATGAAAGGCGCGAATGCACCAGTATCAACGAACATTCTGATTTCAACCCCCTCTATCAATCCGATAACAGCAGATGAACATACGGTCGCAGCAACCACTCTATGGGCCAACTCCGACGTTGTTGCGGCACACGGCAGCCCGACGAGATGTGTCCCTGCAGGCCGCAGTTGTAGCACACGACGAGCCTGCTCCCAGGACGAAGTTGTTCATCCCGTGGCACCATGCCGTCCCCTCGCCAGCCTCCGCCATGGGTCGAAGCACAGGCTTGGACGGGCTCCACATCTTCAGGTGTATCATGCGCCTCACAAGGCGCGGTACACGCCGCCAACCCCTTACATCGTTGCAAGAGCAGGTGCGCCTAGATGCATCTTGCAACCTTGAGAGAAGGCAAATCATCTTCGGCGACGACCGGCATGACGATATTGAGGTCCTTTGCCAACGCCAACAATCTCTCGACGACCAGCGAGTCGACTCCGTCGTGGTCCATCTTCGGGAAGGCAGCCTTTGCTAGCGCCAATAGTGCGCTACAGAAGGCGAGGGGCATCTCGGCCTCCCCCCTCCTCTGCGCAGTGAACTTATGGCAAATGTTTGACAGAGGTTCGTAGATAGCCACCATTTTAGCAAAGGCTTGTTGTAGCGTGACCCTCTCTGACAGCGGGATGATGAGAAATGCCACTAAGGCGCCGTCGTCAATGGCGGCGGGTAGCACTCTCAGCGCCTCTGCCTCTGTCCACCCCGCCAAGTCGCAGTTTGTCTGGAAAGGGCGATTGAAGGCCACCCAGTCACCTCTGGCGGCTGTAAATTCTTTAACAAAGGGTAGTCGTCGCCTGAGAGATGGAATGTCAACAGGTGAACTTGATGCCATCTCAGATTTGGTGGGCTCTCCGCTCCACGAGCTAAATGCTGGCCACTTGCGCGGGCAGCGTCACGGAGGTTTTCCGTTGGTGGGAAACGGCGACGGGATGCTCGACCCCGCGCAGCTACGGTGCTCTCTCCTCCACTGCTGGCTCTTCGCGGTCGAGCTCCGCGATGATCATAGCCACGGCCTCAAGGAGTTCAGCGAGGCGGGAGCGGAATGTGCGGCGCTCTCTCCCCGATGTCGCTGGGATGGTCGTCGCGATGCTCCGCCGACGGCGCCTCACTCCCTTTCTCCGGGATTGCTATCCCCGGGGCTGTCTGAGGAATAACGCCTTTGTCGTCCTCGTCGTCCGACGTCCTGGTATGTAGTCTGCGTCGCGTAAGCATAACCTAACTCAGCTATCTTACATACAAAATAACGTTTGGCCACTCCCGACACCAGTTGTAGTGAGTTCAACTGAGTCACAAACGTATGCTTGGAGGCAACACATTTATTTAACTCCAACACACGAGGTAACGTCCCCTTAACAGAATAACAACCTGGCTAACTACACTAATTACAATGTTACTAGCTACTACGGACCGGGACCACAGCTCGGGTCCAGGTCCACGTGTTGGAGACTCGTTGAACGGAGAACATAGACGTAGACGAAGGTTTCTCCAGGATGAACAACAATGCCGGTCCCTCTGGGGACCCGGCTTATATTCTCTGCGGCGTGGTTGGCTCCGCCCTTGGCCACGACCACCTTCCAGAATCCTCGGGAAGGATCTGGATGCTAACCACATGACCACCCCCAACCTCTACTTGGGCCCCTTTATAGACTTAACTGGTCACATGTCCTCTCGGGTCAACCAGAGTGCCATGGCCTTTAGTAACCTCATTCCTACGGCCGACACTCCCACACCCTGTCCTGTCGGGCTGGCACTACATTTCAAGCGTGATGCCATCTAGCGCTATCCATCAGCGCTCACCGGGCCCTTCTAGTGCCGGTACTACACCCACACCCTTGTGGTATCCGCGATGTCGTTACACCGCACGCCGTGCCTCTCTAGGATCGACACTGCACAGTGACATCCCGCGATGCCACTACATATTTATTGCTGTGCTCGGTTGAATGGAGGCCGTTTGTTGGGAGCAGTTCAAGCGTCGTAGGTTCAATCACAGTGGTATATAGAATATGAATTCCTGCAGTCACGAAAGCTTGAAAAGTTAACTGCCTCTACGGGGAGGGTTTCCACATAACCATAAGATCTTTTAACAAACTCCGAGTCAAGAAAGCTCATCTGAACGAGTCACTCACATTTCTGAAGAGATGCCGCGACTCTAAGTGTGGGTGTGTGCAGCAAGGTGCAATGCTTTGATTGGTGTAGACCTACTGCCGGTGTCGGAGCCTTCTCCTACATTAACATTAGCTGCGCTGCCCATCTCTAAACCTTTATAAACAGCTCTTTGATTGGTGTAGACCTACTGCCGGTGTTGGATCTTTCTCCTACGTTAACATTAGCTGCCCTGCCCATCTCAAAACCTTTATAAACAGCTTGCCCTCAGAGGCTAACCTCCCTGTTTCTGATGACGACCGCTTGTGTTGCGACCGAAACATCGTGATATTTTTATTCACTTTATTTTTATTATTTTATTGTTATTTTTTCTATCTACGTGACTTTACCGAAAGAACCATAGAATAAGGGATTTAAACCTTTAAATGAAATAAGTCTGTGTCACCGCGGCCTTACAAATTGCACACGAATGGATGGAATGAATATGACGTCGCAATCTGCTTTTCGCTTGAATGTTTCAGATTTACTGCAATACGCCCGTCCTTGAATGGGCTATATGCTCGTTACTACTATAATGAACCAATAATGTATGTTTGTGTGTAACGTGCGTAACGTCACTCCACATCACACCTCCCCATCATTAATATTCATGAGCGGGTGGATTTCTACACTCACGCAGGTCGAGCAGAAATAAAAAAAATTGCAAATTCGCTTTAAGTTTGACGTTTCTTTATTGAAACTGAATCTAATAAATAATTCTACGCAGCAACAAAGTGGATTTGGTGTCTTTATTTCTTCAGCACTTGAGACAAAAGGTAAGTCTAATTTATCCTTCTACATTATGGTCAAATAGACATTTCTCGGTCATTTCCCAGATATTGTATCGAATTCAAATGTATTTCAACCCCAGCGACCAAAAGCAGAAGAGAATAAAGTATCAGAGCAGTGAATTTGAACAAATTGAAGGTCAAATTTCGATTTAAAGCTTTCGTGACTGCAGGGATTCTTCTTGGTTCTTTCGGTAAAGTCACGTAGAATGGAAACAAAGTAATACAAATAAAACATAATAAAATAAAAATCTCACGACGTTTCGGCCACAACACAAGTAGCCTTCTTCAGGTGAAGGAACAGAACTGTCGGGACGACAGCACTTCAATGAACGCTGCTAAGATTCGTAGCGTCTTTTAAGCTAGGTGAGAGAAGTAAATCGCTTTGACAAAGCAGTTTACATAACAGGAGAATTTAGCATTGAAATAGCTGAGGGATTAGCTTGTGACTGGTCACAGAAATAGCTATGTTAAAGTCAAAGTTTACATATCAACAGAGGCATTTAGTATATGGACGCTAAAGGGCTGCAACTACCCAACTATCATACAGTAAACCGATGTGATACTTCACCTGAAGAAGGCTACTTGTGTTGTGGCCGAAACGTCGTGAGAATTTTATTTTATTGTTTTATTTTTATTACTTTGTTTCCATTCTACGTGACTTTACCGAAAGAACGAAGGAAATTGAAGGTCAGTTATATACAGTGCTAGTGACATGAACTGAGGTTTTTATGACGTAGTTTTGTGCAAGATTCACTGCCATTACATTTACACAAGATACACTTATACTCTGCCCAATTTTTTCGTAAATATTACAGCTTCCGTTCGAGGACGGGCAAACAAGCAAGTTGTAATATATTTGTATAGAACGCGTGGAGTTGTAGATAAGCGGCGCGAACCCGCAGGATATCGGTCTTGAGCATTCTCCACATAAACACCCGCAGGATAACTGCACTCCCTCTACGCTGCTCAGCGTGCGTGCCAGGCTAGGTGTACTCCACCGAGAACAGGACGAGCCGTCTGTCCTGTACCCACCCAGTGCGCCTCCTCCTCGCCCGCTCACAAATACCGCCCGCCCACACAACAAAGATAAAGATCCCCCGTATTATAGCTTTCACAGAATGCTGGGGCAAGTGCTGTTAGCGAGCACCTATTAAGGTCGGCACACAAGGTGGAAGGCCAGCACCACGCCCGGCCGCCTTTGTCTCCCGAGTAGCGATATTTACACACCGCACCAGGTACTCATTGGAGGCTGAGTAGGGGAGCCCCAGAACAGGTTCAGATAATCGTCACTGTATATCTGAATGTACGGTATTTAGAACGTCTTTCGCACTGTAGGTAGCCAACCGTGCTCATCAGACTGGGCTCGCCGCGAACCGCCGCGCCACCGCTCCCCATCGTACGCCCACACACACCGACACACACACACAACGACACTCACGCCCCACACACACACACAACGACACTCACGCCCCACACACACACACCGACACACACACACCGACACTCACGCCCCACACACACACACCGACACACACACACCGACACTCACGCCCCACACACACACACCGAAACTCACGCCCCACACACACACAACGACACACACACACACCGACACACACACACCGAAACTCACGCCCCACACACACACACCGACACACACACACCGAAACTCACGCCCCACACACACACACAACGACACTCACGCCCCACACACGCACGCGGAGGCACGGCGTCACAACGCGGACAGGTCGGACCGGTCCTGCCCCCTCTCCTTCCCCGTGTGCTGCGGTGGCGACGTTTGGCTCTCGTCGGATTTCCCGACTGCTGGAGTTGGTACCAAACTCGCGCAGAGGATAGAGGAGACAGGGCGAGAGGCAAATCTCGAGATGCCGCTCCTGGGAATCGCGTTCCCCGTCGCGGCGTGTGTCTTGCTGCTCTGGGCGCAAGGGGTGACGCAGACGCTGGGGTTCGGCATCCTGCCTCTACATGACTTCAATTGCTCGCAACTGGTGAGTGGTGGTGGATGTTAGGCAATGGCGAGTGTGTGTGTGAGTTGGTGAGATGTGAGTTGTGTGTGCGAGATGTGAGAGAAGTGTTCCGAAAAGTCTATTTAGGATCTTTGTAGTGGTGTGTGGGTCTGTGAGTGTGCGTCATGATGAGAGCGTGTAAAATGACGGTCTAATGGTGAATGTGATTACTGGAGTAGGAAGCGTGTGTGAGAGATGGTGAGAGGGTATTGGCGAGTATGTGTGTGCACATAGCCTGGCACAAGCGCCATTGTGACGTCACTACCACATAGTGGAGAATGGCGGTGGTTGTAAACATCGCTACTAGGGAGACAAAGGCGGCCGGGCGTTTTACTGGCCACCCCACCCACACACCAGTGTGTCGTTCCAGCCTTCAATAGGTGCTCGCTAACAGTAGTTGCCTCAAAAATATGTCAAGGCTATTACAGTACGGGGATTTATTTGTCTTTGTAGTGGTAAGTGTGAGTGGGTGATGATGGTGTCATGGTGAATCTGTGTATGTGTGTGAATGGTGGTGAGTGTTTTTGAAATGTAAGAATGATGGTGAGTGTGTGAGATGGTGTGATGTTTTGTGTGAAGATGGTGATTGTGAGGTGGTGGTGAGCGGTGCTTGAATGTGAGAGTGAGATAGTGTGAGTGAGTGCTAAGATAGGATTGCGAAATGGCTCATAATAGTGAGTAGGATGGTGAGTGCTCAGATGGTGATCGGTGATAGATTGAGATGGTGAGTATAAGATAGTGTTTGCGATTGTGAGCGAGTCTAAATAAACCATTTAAACCAGCTGTGGCTGGCCAGGACTTGGCAGTAGAGCAAGTGAGTAGGTTAACCCTCTTGTTCGGACCATTGGAGTGTATGGTGGTTTTCTACAGAATTGGCCCAACATATCAGTGCAGAACCCTCCTGAGCAGAGTATTGGGACTTGGAGAGGTTTCGCCTGATAAATGATAGCATTATTTATTTGCTGAGTGTCGTTAAATGCCAGATGTATAAGTGAATTCGTTGCAGTCTACAGTGTGCTGTGTAGTTGTGAAGGTGGCGCTGTATGTGTGCTCCCTTGTGAGCTGCTTGTTTTGTGTTGTGTATCATGCAGAGGCTTTTTCGTTGACCTCAGACCCATATCTCACAGAGTCCTTGCATATAAACATCCGGCAGTTAAACAGCATTGGTTCAAGCACGTCTGAATGCTGAGACACTGAATGTCAAAACCGGTCCAGGTTTAGCTTGTGTTGAAGCTATGTTGCTGCAATTAGATTGTGGCCAAAGGAATGTGTAAACAAGCACTTACATTTTCATGTGGAGGGATAGTTGTGGGAAGGAGGCGGATTGTCACCAATGTTTTGTAGAGTCAATCCACACCATTTCCAAATCGAGTACGACGTTTTGACAATAATTACAACTAGCCTCATCAGGCGATATCCAGAAACGGTATGCTGAACTAGTAACTAATTGACATGCTTTGTTTACGCGACAAATCTGACTAATTGGCTGTCGGGTGGTGGCAGGTTTAATGATACATGTATATACACGCAATCTAACCCAAAACAACCTCTTATGGATAATATTGGTCGCGAAAGCCTACCTGCTTGACCAACCCCATATTGATCACATCTCGAAGAAAATAAAGTCAAAATAACATTTTTGCATAGAAACAAACATTGTCTTCCCATTTGTTTGCGCCTGCAAAATGTTGAAGCTATCATTCTATCACTGCTTGACTATGGTTATACTGTTTACAGATCAGCTCCTAATGAATCACTATACAGACTGAACCCACTTTATAATGCTTCTCTTAGATTTGCACTGAATGTACCATACAGGACCCATCATCGTCACTTCGACTTAAAATCTAATCTCATTTCACTTGATGCAAGAAGAAATCTACATTGGGCCCTCTTCATAAAATCCTTCTTGGCAAAATTTGCGCTATACTTAGCTAATTCATTAACCCCATCGTCAAATCCAATAAACCTAAGACGTCCATCGAATTGCCTTTGAACTTTCCCAAGAACAAGAATTCGAATAGGTGAAAAAGCCTTTGCCATTACAGCACCAATTTTTGGAACAACCTTGTTTCCTGCCTTAACATACATTTTTCCTTCAAAACATATTATGAAGCAGAAGATTGGTGCTGGATACAGTCACATTTGCAAATGTGATTTGGAAATGTGATACTTAAATATTTCAACAGTTTTATTGAGAGACTGTGTGTTGTCTTGGTGTGGTCTGGGAGTTTGCATGTTCCCCCCGTGGTCACGTGGATGTTTTTTCCGGGTCCTCCAGTTTTTACCTCCACATTTATAAACATGCGTCTAGATAATTTTGCTACTATAAATTACCACGTAATAAGCCATTTTGTTGACCTATCATTTGTAGCAAGGTCGCTTCTGAAAAAGAAGCTAATAGCTCAGCGGGCCCTACCTGGTAAGATAAAAAATTGTTTAGTTTTATTTGTAAATATGTTTAAGTGATTTGTTTGCCTTTCCTATACTTTGCACGCCTATCGTGTTGTATTGTTTGTTGTTGTAACGTTTTGTTAAGAAAACGGTTGCACATAGAAGAAGACCTGATGCAGGCAGTGATGAGAAGGAACCTGTCACGATTTGGACATATGTAGGAAGGACAACAACAGGAAAATTAAAAGTATTGTTAGGAAAAATGGAAGGAACAGGAAAGAGAGGAAGATCTCACAGATAATGGTTTGACGACGATATAAGAGATTGGTGCCAGAAAGATGTGGCACTAATTGCGCATATTGGCAAAAGACTGAGGAAAGTGGAAACAAATAATGCAGCGTGCAGTAAACACCTATGGTCTATCTGCCCATGGATAGTGATGATGATGACTTCCTACTTAAGTGTGTTGTCAAATTTGTAACTGAATCCACTGTAACTCATACCGTGTGTAGTTTTGAAAGTCACGTGCATTGTACAAGTTCTGAGCTGAGGCATATGGACACTCGTTTGCCTTTTACTTCGAGGGTGGTTCAGTGTTACCGGTAATGATTAATACATGCTCGGTGAAACGGTGTTGTGTTTCACAACATTTGGACTCTGGAAATTGAACCCAGGCAATTCAGATCTTGTCAAACTGCAACAAATGTTGGACATAAATGATCATATGGTAGAATATATGTACGTATAGAGAATCCCATTGAAATCGTGGTAACCTTGGTTTACATAGAGCAACACTAACTGCTGATAAACAATAGACAGGAAGGACAAGTTCAGATGGAGCGATGGTCAATCCAGCAGTTAGTTATTTTGTTTTCTGTAATTCAGAGGTTTACTAGCTACCGGGGAGAGTTTTCAATCAGTGCGTGTTGCTGTGACGTAGTGAACAGAAATGTGCATTCGGAATTTTTTTAATGAAACAAATGTCCAGAAGTACTATATATAAAACAGCATGGATAGATGCATGCTTGGAATGATACTGAGAGGAAGACAGATCAATGAACATCACTGGGCTTTCGCAGGCTGCATTGCTACAAGGGAAGGTCGCTGTTGGACAAGGCTGGCTTAGGGATGGCAGCCAAGTGAGAGAAGGCTCAAGGGTACATTAACCTTGGAGATGGAGCGATGGTCAATCCAGCAGTGGATCCAGCAGTGGATTGACCATAGCTGATGATGGCGATGAGTGAAATTTTATTAGAAAAATACTGTTACATCTTTTTTGGCAAATATAGCCTAAAGTATGTTTTTTGTAGCAAATGTTCTTTTCTGTTTAAGTCTCTTCAGAGCCATGCCCAGCTACAACCTGGAAAAGGGAGCCCATATGCAGTGTTAAACGTATTCACATCACTCTTGGAGCTCATTAGCATGGCGTGGCATGAGAGTTCTTAAAGGCGAGGAGGCCCTGTCAAAGTCCCCAGAGAGCCTTAGGCATGCGAGGAATTGAGGTGAGGAGAAATCTCGTTGTGTTGTCATGTGCGGATGCAGCCATGCAAATCAATAGGATAGCGTCACTCGCGACATCTCTTCAGGCTCGAACTGAAACTCATCCCATGGTTTGTATTATGGTTTATTCCACTTGCTTACCCAGAAAGACTTACTGAATCTCAAAGTTATTTTCCAGGAGGCTCCTGGTGGGTGATGTTACTATGTGTAATCCCATTTTGGGTAATTTACAGGTAGATTTTCAGAAGTGGAATATTTTGGCCCGATACCAGTTACATTGGTGTTTTAGCTATGGGAGGAAATCGGAGAAACCGGAGAAAATCCATGCATAACAGGGCACTTTAAAGAGATAGAATCAGTCTGTGACATATAAAGCTATCCTGTTCTTGCGTTTAATGGCAATCTGTTCAGGCGCTAAATGGAAATGTTGAGGTCTGCTTGCCACTAGAGGGCTTCAGGAGAGCGTTTGTGTAGTTTTGTTATTCCTCCATTGAAGGACCACATTTTGGTTACATGGCCACAGTCGCACTGCTATAGCTTGTCTAATGTTCTATTCATAAAGGGGATGTGTTCTTCACCCTATTGACGTTATGATGCAGTTGATGGTTAAACCAGTGTCTTCGAGGAATGTTTAAGCCAGGAGGTGCGATATTTGGATCTCAAATGAGGTGTTTATTCTGTACTGTCTGCAGTGTTTCACTCTGTTCGCCATTGTGCAATCCTGATCTGAGTTATATTCTAGGTTGGTGACAGGACAAACCCAGAAGAGGAATGGGAACTTGAGTCGGCAGCGAGGAACATTGATGGATAGGTTGTGGTCGTTGGCAAGAAAACGTGTAAACTTGTTTTTGTATATTGCATGTCTTTGCAGATATTTGGTGGCAGAATGTTTGCCAAAACAGGGAGCAAGTAGATTTGTGTCAGTTTCAGAGTTCTGGTTATGATGTGCATTCCATCTAGAAGTTTTTTGTGTATGTACTCCCGTACCAAGCTGGAGCACAATTACAGTACTCTGGCACTGAGTAGATCAGCGATAGAGCAGCAATTGGCAGCACATCAGTTTAGGGTGCTCCAGGTAATTCCTGCAAGTTTCTGTAGCAGGGCGATACAAATCTGTTTTATGTGGGACTTTTAAGGTCAGGCTCCTGTCCATGATAACCCCGAGGTATCTTGGGGTTACCACAGAATGTTTTACCACAGAATGACACATTAAGCATGGCATCTGCTGCTTCAATGTTCAAGTGGAAAGCACTTGTGTTGGTTTTTGAAGGATTTTATTGCATTCTCTAGTGATGGAAATATGCCTCCAATAAAGCGAGATCAGCTGTTAGAGGATTGACAATGTTCTTGAGGATTGTGCTCTGTACAGTAAGGGCTATGTAATCTGCATGTATGAATTTGCGAGATAAGGTACATTACAGGTCACTTATATGTACAGCGTAAATAGTGATGGTGCAAGTACCGAGCCTTGACAGAGGCCATTGTTCATAATTCTCTTGTAGCTGTACAACCGAGTTGTACCTGGAAAAGTACGGTTGCTGAGCATCGCGCCGATTAGGTATGCAGTAGGACAGCATCTGATGAATTTCACCAACTTCAGTAGCAGTTGGTGAAATCAGCAGCAGAGAGGTCAATCATTGCTGTGTCAATTGTCTGTTGACATGTTCGCATGTACCAACCAGTGCATTCCAGACAAATTCCACTGGGATCAATTACAGGTTCCTGACTTTTCGAAATCGGTATTCGACTTAAACAATGGTTTCCAATGTAGCAATTGTTGTTTAACAAGGTGAGCTGTGAGAGCGACTTTTTCTGTGACACTTGGGTGGCCGTGAGGCTGATCTGCCCACTTCTCACCACCGTCATTCACTCTCTCTGACTGGAATTTCCAAAGAGTCTTCAGCTACTCAAATGAGGAAGCAATAATTTTTCATATACTTATAGAGGCAAGAACGTTGCGAAAGTGGAAGAAGTTTTTTCTTATTATAATGACGTTAAATCATGCACTCTGCCTGGGGTTCGATTTGCAGTTTACATGACTTAACATTAAATAAAATTGTTCTTGGTAATAGTAATAGTAAGAGTTAAGGAGTCAGTTACATTTTTGATTCAGCACTCACTAATTCACTCGTCACTCACCGGCAGTCAGTCATCTCCTTAGCAGTCTTCTATCACTACTGCCATGGTTACTGTTCCTGTGAACTTGACGCGTTGATTTCTTTTCCCATGTTGAGGTCTCGCTCTACCATACACTGTTTTGTCCTATCCACAACACTGTCTTGAGCCACCATCCAATACCAACACCCACCGTTCACCACTAAGTGACGGTGACGTCACCACGGCGCCTGTGCCAGGCCAGGTGCACTTTGAGGCCACGTGAAATTTCGAAGGCTTGCTAACAAAAGTTCTCGGGACAGACCCAGCAGGTGCCATGGGTTGGCTGAATGAAATTAATGGTAGATGCACCAGCTGTACCCCCTACTGTGCCAACTTGCTGCATTTTAGCCGCCCGGCGTTCTGCTCGCTGTTGTGAGCATCGCTCCTCTGCCCTCTGTTGTTGCTGGAGGGCGACTGCCTCCAACTGCCTTGTTAGCATCCTTCAAGAGCCTCCTCCATAGAGGCCGATCTTGACATCGCTGGTACCGGTTGTCGGCAAGTCCACTCAGCTCCACATCCTCCTGTACCGCATTAGTCCATCTCTTCTCCAGCCCATGTCATGACCGTTTAGCCTCTATAACTTTTCGGAATCAGTATTGGTGTCTGGACATGCAGGCTACATGAAACAGCCAACGCAGCCTTTACTGACAGAGGAGCTCACTGATGGGAATGTATCCAGATCTTTCAAGAATTTGTGAGCGCACACAATCCAACCTCGTTAAACCCAGGATGGACAGACATGCCAGCCTAAATGTTTGTAACCAGCGCCGATGTTCCATTAGAGGTGTCCACGTTTCACAAGCATTAACAAGGGGGGGGGCATGAGTGTGGCCGATAAGACTCGAAGCTTCGTGCGGAGCGACAGACCAGGTAGCTTCCACAGCATTACGCAGCTGATGAAAAGGTTATGCCGCCCGACTGATTGGGATTGAGACCTCTGCTTTCAAACTGGAGCTGGTCATAAGCACACTGCCCAGGTATTGGAAACTCTCCATTCTGTCCACAACTGCTCCATCACCTATGGGCAGCTGAGGGGGTGGGGTGTTTGGTGGCACAAAATACCCAGGGAAATGCTTAGTTTTGGTTGAGCTGATGATAAAACCCCACCTCTTAGTGGTACACTCCAGTTTCAGCAGCAGGATTCCTCTGAGTGAGCAGCAATCACCAGATCATCAACATACATAACATGGTTGATCAATAGGGAGCCATACTTGGACAGTACCCGGGCATCGATCAGCCTCCCATTGTATCTATACCAGATGTAAATTCCTCCGATACAGGCATGGAAAGCACCATCACACTGCTGGTTACGCACATTCACCCCATTTACTGACCCACCTACGTGCTCACTCACTTACCCACTCGCTCACTCATTCATCCACTCATTCACCACACTGCAGGTCACAACACTTCTCTATCTGCTTCTACTTTCACACTGCTCCACTTTGTAATTCCTACCATCGTCTTGTTCCATAAACTCTTATAACCTTGCTGAATTCAAGAAACGTGTCAACTTTTACCCATTACACCATTAACAGTGTTGTTTGTTGCTGGCCACTTGGAGTTTTGGGCCTGTGCCTGACCACTCGGTAAATACCATGCAACAATAACTGTTCCACGTTGCTTATTTGATTGAATCTCATTACTGCTCAATTTTACCCTCTCACTTTAATCATTAGCTTCACAAATGTATATAGTTGCATGAACTAGGACCATTATCTAACAGACAGAATCCTAACCTATAAATATCAGGAAGTTCACCAGCATTGGCCCAAGCAAGTCGGACTGCTGCTGAGACATTGAATGTCGAAACCAATTGAGACTTTGCTTGTGTTGAACCAATGCTGCTGAAATTATCCACTCCAAAAAGGCTGCGTGGCTGATGGGATTTGTAAATGTACCATTATTTTTTATATGGAGGGACATAATATAGAGGTGAAAGAGATGTATTGTCTGGTTGACTGCCTTCCTGGTACTTGAACACTTTCTTCGGGTTTGTGGTGGTGTAATTGTATTCAAGCATGGAAGGGCGTACTTCATTCCACCTTCCTGATCTCTTCCTCATTCTCTCTTTGCAGGGTGTAGAGTGCACTGCGGAGGAAGGTGAGTTGCCTTGCAAGCTGTGTGCACTGATTACCATGTTGTATTTATAAATAGATAGTGGCACGATGGCCTCACCATTTTAGAGCATTGAGTAACACTTGATACTGATGCTGGGTTTTAATTCAGGTTTTAATGACCTGTGCATCTTTTGTTGCTTATTTTCTCCACAGTGACGCTCATAATTATTTTATGATGTATGTATGTTGAACGTCTGCACTGTACATAGCCAACCATGCTAATTGGAGGTGTTGTGTATTCTCTAGTTTTGCATCAAAGTAGGACCCGCATTTCAAGGGGTTTGGTTCTGAATAAACTCTGTAGATAGGCAAAGGACATAGTGATGTATCTATGCAATTCAAGATGAACTTGACCTTGTAAATTGCTCTCCAATTTGAACGAGAATAATAACCCCTCTTGAAATATAAATCAAAGTGATGGGTGGGATAGTTAATTTACAAGTTAAAGTATACAGCAGAATGAGAGATTGGATTTAGCAAATCCAAAGTGGTTGTGGAGGTTGCTTTTTGTTTGTCAGCATAGTCTAGGCGAGGCATAATGGCAGTAGGTGTTGGCCGTGAGCTGGAATGGAACTCGAACGATCGGGTTCTAAACGCAGCGCGGCTAACCTCTACACTACCGCTCTTCACAAATATGCATGCACACATGTAATATCAGGAACAAGAAGTAGCTCTGGGCCCCTCTTAAGTCGACTCATCCTCAAATGAGTACTTGCTGCGGTGTGTAAACATCACCACTGGAGAAACAAATTGCGGCCAGACGTGGTTCTGGACACCCTCACCTTTATGTGCTATGCCGGCTTTAATAGGTGCTCACTAATCCCTCTTGCCCCAACAGTCTGTTAAGGCTACATGAGGGATCTTTGCGTGTGTGTGTCTAGTGAACGTTGAGATTTTCCATGTTTGGGGAGCGGTCGTGTCGTGGTTAGTGCACTGCGCTCCGAACCTGGCGACCCGAGTTCGATTACCGCTCATGGCCACCACCAGTGACAATTATCTGAATTGGTCCTGGGTCTCCCCCTAAGTCGACTCTACCTCAAATGAGTACCATTGCGTGCCATGCCTTCATAAGTGCTCACTTACAGCACTTACCCCAACAGTCTGTTAAGGCCACACGGGGGATCTTTGTCTTTGTAGTGAACGTGCCGCCCACCAGCTGGTTCGAGTCTATGAACTGGACGCCGATGCCACCCCAGCGCATGAATGTGACGCTGGCCTTGGTGACTGAATCCACATGCCCCATTCCCCAGGCTGTGCTCAACATTACCTGGCAGGTCGCCACAGACGGTAAGTACCTTCCATGTGTTATGCATGTTTGTGGACCATCAGCACTGGGGATATTAAAGCAGCCGGGCGTGGTGCTAGCCACACTACCTCCTCGGTCACCATTCTGGGTTCTTTCTCAGAAAGTCTCCGACTCTGTATGGCTATATGAGGGATCTTTGTCTTTGTGTCTTCACGTGCACATTACGTTTGCGTGTACGTTTACCTGCATGTGTATAAGTTTGTGTGTCAGTCAATTCACCCTTAATACTGGAGCCTGTCCCGTAACCCCCTGCCAGCTGGTCTCAAAGTGCGCACATAGCATGGCACAAACGCTGTGGTAACATGTGTGTGTCCCCGCAAGTGTGTAATTTTACGTCTGTGTCTGTGCAGTTCTCATAATATTTTAACTGGTACTGGGACTGCCCTAGGTCGACTCAGCCTTAAAATTATTACCTGGTTCAGTGTTTAAACATTGCCACCGTGGATACAAAGTTGGCCGGGCGTGGTGCTAGCCATACCACCTCATCGTCTGCCGTGCTGGGTTTAATAGGTGCTCGCGAATGGCATTTTGCCTGATATTTTGTTGAGGCTACAAAGGGGATATTTGTCGTTGTCCGTCTGTGTGCAGCGAGCATCCTGCACCTGGAGGGTGCCGAGGTGTGCGTGCTGCGCCACCAGGGCAGCCACAGCTTGTGCGTGCGCTACGCCTTCAGCCGCTTCAGTAGCCCGCACAACCCCAATGGACGCCCGGTACGTGTCACTCCAGCCAGCACGTCAGGCCTAGCTTTGTACATAAAACAAAAATAAATACACGCAGTCCCCGAGGTACGAACGTCTGACTTACGAAGATTTGTACTTACAAACGAACCATCCAACTTGCAGATGTTTGGTTGTACTTACGAACTGAATCGCGGAACTATTTTGTTCGGCGGAGCTCTCTTTCGTGAGATGTATTGAGTCCCAACAATCCCGAATGATGTCAACGATAGTGAACTGTTCAACTGAAAGTAAGTGAAAATAAAGCTAATATTTTATTTTCATGTTACTTTATTTTATGTTTTATTCACCATACAGTATTTCAGTATTACATTTTAAATGTATAATGTTTCTTCTTGTATGTATGTTGAACTTTTCTCGCACCATACGTAGCCAACTGTGCTAATTCGAGGTGTGGGGCAAAGACAATAAACTAAACACAAAAAGCAGTTCTAAAGAAATGAGATTTAAAAGTGCATCACTCCAATGACTTCCTTCTTATTCATGATCTTAACAATGCTTCCCATTTTTGTTGAACCATAACACACTTTATGGCTCCTACCTGCAGCCCCTCCTTTCGCACCCCTCCCCATGTGCCCCCCCAAACCCCCTACGATGCCTCCCGTTGCCCCCCCCCCTCACCCACTCACCGCCCTTCCCCTCGGGTGTCCTCCCCCACGCCCCCCACCCGCATGCTGGCCATGCAAACCCCCCCCCCCTCCTATTTGCGTGCTTTGTCGTGCATGGCCTCCAGCCAGTGGACCTCACCCAGGGCAGCACATGGCCATCTAGCAACACTTGTCTGTTTTCATATATAGCACAATAGCACTGTGTTTATCTTAGGAAAGGCTCACTAAGTTTCAAGATGTTTTTTTCAGGAGGGTCCTGGCAGGTTTTTGCAGTAGGGGGTGATGCTGCTCTCTAATTCCAGTTGAGTGATTTTCAGTTACATTGTTTGTTTTTCGCTATGGGATGAAACCATTGAACCTGGAGGAAACCCATGTAGAACAGGGGGAGAACATACAAACTCAGCACATTCACACACGCTCACAAGACACAAAGATCCCCCTTATCGTCTTAAGAGACGTTTTGGGCAAATACTGTTAGCCAGCACCTATGAAGGCCAGCACGGTACATGAGGGGGTGGGTGGCCAGCACCATGTCCGGCCACCTTTGTCTATTGGCGATGTTTACACACCGCACTGGGTACTAATTTGAGGCTGAGTCGACCTAAGGGAGACCCAAAACCTGTTCAGATAATAGTCACTGGTGTTGCCCATGAGCGGCAATCAAACCCGGGTCGCTGATGTTTTAGTGCAGAGCACTAACCGCTACACTACTGTTCCACTCAATCACACTCACCCACCAACACTCAATAGGAAGGGAACATTCAAGCTACACACAGAAGGCATCCAAGTGGGGAATCGAACCAAAATCCTTCTTCCTGTGAAACACATAGGTTACCACTGTATCACCCTGCCAACCATGATGATGATTATTATTATTAAAATCACTTGAAAGTAACATTTCCCTTATATTCTTGGTTCTTTCGGTAAAGTCACGTAGAAGGGAAACAATAAAATAAAATATATATTTTTATTATTTTATTGAACCAAGAATATGAAATCCCTGCAGTCACGAAAGCTTTAAATCAAAACATTTCCCTTGTTTTCATTCAAACATTAAAAAATTTAGTTTACCCAGGAATCCCTCACTGAGTTTCAAGACTTGGTTTCACGGGGGTTTTCGCTGTCGGGAGCGATTGCTGTGCATTTCCGAATTACTCCACCTTTGCACCCATTTGTCTTCTATCTCCTGTTTTGTAGTGGGAGTTTTACTTTGACAGATTTGAGGCTGAACCCAGCATGCAATACACGGTGTACATCTACAGCCTTCCCATGGCCATGTCAGGGCAAGATGACCTCCACATCTCAGCTGAGGTTTGCATGCCGGGTGAGTCGGTTGGTCCGTTTTTTTGGCGCTCCCTTGTGATGCTTTGGAGGTCAACGTCAAAGCAATCTTATGCTATGATCAGCATTGAGGCGGTGCTCATTGTTGTATATGCCGGGTCTTGAAAATTTAATTAAAATAATAATAATGAAATAAAATTGAAAAAAATGCGTAATTGTCCAAAAGTATGTTAATTGGTTTAACTATGCACATAAATTATGCTAATTATGGAGGCGTGATCTTTTGAAGTCATACAATTGTTTGCGATTATGCTAATGCAAGCCGTTATGATAATTAGGCCCTGCCTCGCTGACGAGGGTAGTATTATTGGGATCATACAATGAATTGTATGAAGTTATGCAAGTGTGATGTAAGTATGCTAGATTAAGCTCAGCTTCGTTGTCATGGGTCGTATTATCGATCGGGAGAAAACAATTGTTCTCGCTTTAACATTTACTGATTATGTATTAGTGTGTTTATGTCAGGTCTCCAATTCAAATCTCACCGCAGGATACAGTTCTTATAACTAAGATTAGTTCGCATGAACTTAGGAAGACACCACTCGGACACTTCTGCGTTAAGCAATTTTAATTTCTAAACAAAAACATAACATATTCTTGGTTCTTTCGGTAAAGTCACGTTGAAGGGAAGCAATAAAATAATAAAATATATATAAAACAATAAAATTCTCATGACGTTTCGACTGCAACACAAGCAGTCATCATCAGGTGTGAAAACCAATGGCAAGAACATTTGAAAGAAGTGGCGGTTTGTATTTATTTATTTTAAACGTTAGCACTACGGATAGCGATTTGACAGTTTGTTTAGATGGACGAGTCCATCTTATGTTCGGAAAAGAGGAGGGGGGAGACGAAAAATGTATGTATGCTGTCTGAAAGCCACCGTAAGCGTGAACGATCAATTAAGACATACTCTTTGGTTCTATTCGGTAAAGTCACGTAGGTAAAAATAAAAACAACAAAAATCACGACGTTTCGGCCACAACACAAGTGGCCTTCATCAGGTGAAGGGACCAGGCTGTCTCGAGGACAGTGCTGGAGTGAACACAGCCAAGCTCAGACCGCGACCTTTAAGCTTGTGTGAGAGGAATTATGGTGCCTTGACAAAGGAGTTAGCATAAAAATTAGCATTCAATTGGCGGACTTAGCATGGTGAACGGTGTAGAGGGGGTGAACATGTGCAGACCGGCGAGGGGGGGAGGGGGAGTTTACATATTGATGGTGTGAAAAGGGAATTTAAGCAACTGCGAAAGTTTGGGATACCACTACTTGAAAAAATATACTGTACCATTGAAAATTAGTTTAATGTTTGGTTCGATTTAGAACATCTTTTCAATGGTTGCTTAATTTGAAACCATCTTCTCGGTGGAAATTGTGTCTGTGTTTGTAAATCTGAATTACCTTGTGAACAGATCTCTGATAAAAACCCGTGGGTTTGCAAAGAACCTTGGTATCGGAGAAAATTAGATCGTGATCACCCACAGCGTTGTAACAGTGATCAGCTACGGCAGAAGAATTCGTTCTGCCGTGTTTAAAATCTGATTGTGCTCGCGAATTCGGTCAGAGACGTGTCGTTTCGTCTCCCCGATATAGCAGTCACCACAGGTGCAGATCAATCTGTAAACTCCGGGGTACTGTAAGTCAGGAATAACATCCTTCGCGGAAGGGATCAGGTCACGGATTTTGTGAACTGTATTGAACCGGACCAGGATCTTGTGTTTGTTTAGAATTTTGGAGATCTTTTTAGTAATGCCTGCTATATATGGCAGTGTGAAGGTTTTGATCGGAGTATCAAGTGGTTGTTTCTGTATGGAGGGAGAAACAGCTTGGCGGATGGTACGGTCAGAGTTTCCATTCCTTTTGAGGGCCAGATGCACATGTTTTAATTCACAGGTCAAGTGGTGTCGGTCCGAAATGCAATGAGCCCTGTGGGGTAACGTTTTGATGAGAGAATTCTTTTGCGTCGGGTGGTGATGGGAATCAGGTTTCAAGTAGGAATCTGTGTGGGTGGGTTTCCTTTAGATAGAATGTCCCAATGAGCCATCAGGTCTCCTCTCAAACAGAACATCCAAGAATGGCAGCTTGCCATCTTTCTCCGCTTCCATGGTGAATTTGATGGCGGGGTGTCTGGAATTTGTGGTCTAGGAAAAGGTTCAAAGCTGGGAGGCCATGTGGCCAAATGACGAAAGTGTCGTCTACATATCTCTTCCACAGGGAAGGTCTGAGGGTGGAGGTCTGGATGGCGTCTGATTCAAATTTCTCCATGAAAATATTGGCTATCACTGGTGACAAGGGGGATCCCATGGGGGTACCCTCATTTTGTTTGTAGAAGGAGCCATTCCAAGTAAAGTAGGTATTGTTGAGGCAGTGCCTAACCAGTGCAGGTGTATCGGGGTTTAGTCCATGTTGGAACAAATTTTCAATTATTTCAATGGTATCAGGTACTGGGACCTTGGTGAACAAAGAGACCACATCGAAGCTGACAAAGATATCGTCAGGGGACAGTACAACGTCTTTGACCATAGAGACCAATCGGGCTGAGTTAAGTACTGCTGAGGTGGTCTTGCCAGTGAAAGGCAGCAAGGTATCTGACAGAAAATGGGCTAGTCTATACGATGGGTCGTAGTGGGGTGCCTTTATGAATCTTGGGAAGACCATAGAATCTAGAGGGTCTTGCAGCAGAAGGTTTTAGGGAGGGACGTTTAGTTGGGTCAATTAGGGAGGTCGAACTTGTGATGATCTTGTTGGTTTTTATCGCTCGGCTATTAGTAGGGTCATTTTAAATTTTTGAGTAACTTCCATCGTTGAGCAGATTCTGGATTTTGTTGTTGTATGAATCCTTATCCATAATTACAGTAGCGTTGCCTTTATCGGCTGAGAGGATTACTATGTCACTTCTGTTTTTTAAATTCGCGAGTTCAGAGCGTTAATTTTTGCTGATGTTGCTAATGGGTTTCTTAGCATTTTTAAGAATAGTGGCTATTTCAGCTCTCGCAACATCTGCTTGGAAGTGTCCTACGCCTTTGAGGGCTACATCGACCTGAGAGATGATATCATCTACTGGTATGTGTTTTGGGGTGACAGCAAAATTTAGCCTCCTACTGTTTTCAGATTGTCCGAAATCGGGGTGCTGCTCTGATTAATGACGATTTTGTTGACGTCTAGTTTTGTTATATGTGGAGCTGTGTTCTTTGATAGGTGGTTGAATTTAGAAATCAGGTTTGCTTTGCATTTGACTGACAGTGAATCAACAGAAGAAGCAGTCATGTTGTCTATGTGATTCCAATCAGAAGGTGACATTTTTTGTGTTAACATTAAATGAGCTCGTAGGAGAGTCCTGTCTAAAGTATCGAGTTCAAAACGGAGTAGCCTTATCCTCTCTGAGATTAAAGAAAGGCTGGCCTTAAACAGAATCTGTTTAGAATTCGGTGAGGACACAACAGCAGAAGTGAGTGTGAAGGTGATGGGTATTACCTTGTGGTCACGGCATCTTTTGAGGAAGGTTAGCGTCTCGATGAGCTGTGACTTCTTGTCTCGTCTGTCAAAAGCTCTAACAGATAGGTGAAAACCCTCCCCATAGAGGCTATCAATTCTAGATTTGAAGCTTTCGTGACTGCAAGGATCCATACTCTTTGGTTCTATTCGGTAAAGTCACGTAGGTAAAAAATAAAACAACAAAAATCACGACGTTTCGGCCACAACACAAGTGGCCTTGTGTTGTGGCCGATTAAATGTTCTTGCCATTGGTTTTCACACCTGATGATGACTGCTTGTGTTGCAGTCGAAACGTCGTGAGAATTTTGTTTTATATATATTTTATTATTTTATTGTTTCCCTTCAACGTGACTTTACCGAAAGAACCAAGAATATGAATCACTGCAGTCACGAAAGCTTTAAATCAAAATTTGAAAACATAACACTCTAATATGCGAACTCTTATGCTTGGAATTGTCAACATAGTACTCCTGGAGATCTTCCCCTCATTGATCCATACATTTAACCCTCAATGATCACATTGTTAAACTGGGTAACAAAACAATTTATTAATTCCTCAGAGTACACGAGCATATACGGCGATAGGAAAAAGTCTTTAAAAATTAATGCAACGATATTCATACTAAGTGCAATAAAGAAACATGTCCTGAAGGCAAGAGTAGTTATCAATTAATTAATTGGCAAGATTATGCAATTAACGAAAACGGATGAGTAAAATACTTCTAAACAATCGTATTCATGTAACTCGATGGGCAGCAATGCTTTTCACGATCAGCTGATATTTAACGCACCACCTTGGAATGGCAACCCTTCTTGAAACACAAACAAAGATAACTTGTTGGAACAGTCTTATTTGTCCCGATATGCGTGTTGTGTGTCTTCTTTGCCACTTGTTCAATTCTTTGCGTAAAGCAGATGCCGGCGATGTGTCGTGAGTGTGGGGGAGGGTCATACAAACGGTTTCGTTGCTCTCTCTTGCTCGGGGGCGGCCACAGTTTCTGTCCACAGCTGGCTGGAAGAGTCGGCACGACGCTCGCCGTCGGTGCGCGATGATCCGTCGTCAGATAGCGCCCGCAGCCCGTCCGCTGGTCGCTGTTCCTCACTCTTGTCTTGGTTCCCAGCTGGTGCTGGTCGGTGTGAGAAGTGGGTTGAACCCACGGCGCTCTCGCCAGCACTCTCTTCCTCACGGGCGGCTGGTCAGGCTCTTTGCCCTGCTGGGTGAGCCGAGTCGGCACAACGCTTGTCCGCTGGCAGCTGACACCCTTGCTTGGTGGTGCTGGTGGCGCTGCTGCGCGCTTTCTCCGGCTTCGTGCTCTTTGGCGATGCCCGATTGCGCATGCAGCTGGTGCTCTGCGATGCTGGCTGGGTCGATGATTGGGCTTTCCACCCTTTCTCCCGGATGCTTGCTCGTCGTTGCTCTTTATTTTATTGCTCGGCTGTAGCTGCTTGTGGGAGCTTGCACTCAGGGTAGAATGACATTGAGCGATACTTCTTCTGTCAGCGCTGAACTCGTGTTCGGTGACACATCGCTACTCGGCAAGTCTCCCCATCCCTGGTTGATTGCAGAGTCCCACCCTGGAGCTTGCCGCTTGCAGAGCTCAACTTTTTGCGTTGACTTCGTAGACTCGTGGTTTCTGCTGGTGCAGCTCGTTGACGATGTGCCAGTCACGGGGGCAGGTTCCCGGAGCCTGTGGATCGCAGCTGCTCGTGGGAGCTGGCACTCACTCTCAAAACTTGTGAATTGTATTTGCACACCTCTTACACAAATCTGATAGCTTAGTACAATACAACTTATCGAACTCCTGGACTTTGCAAGCGACTCAAAATATCAGGATAACTGTAGAATAAACTTTCAGCGATACTCTGTCGGTCCATGCTGAACTCGGCACCTAACATCACCTCGCCCCTCTTCTCTGCGAGACACAGCACCCATTGCTAATGTCGAGGCCATGCTCCGGAGCCTGCCCGTCGCAGTACTCTCTGTTCGCAGCACTCTACTTGCATGATCTGTGTCCGTGCTTAAATGTGAAATTGTCTCCCCTCTCTCCGCGTCTCTTGCGAGAGAGAAAAAAAACAGATGCCCTCTGTCACCGTTCTCCCGTGACCGCAGCGGCCTGGCTGCCCCCCCCTTTATGACCTTTGATAGTTTGTTTTTGTTTGCATCCCCAACCCCTCTCTTCGTGGTGTCTGCTAAAAGGGAGGGGAAGCACCCTTCATACATATTTTATGGCTACCATGTGTTTGTGTCAAATTTTTGGAAGACAAAGGTGGCCGGGGAGGCTCTGAAGTCATGGAATACATATTATCTGGTCTTGTGTGTTTGACCTATTTTCTTGTATCTTTCATGAGTTACCCACGGTCAAATATCTCGTGGTTATTATTTGGTTTATGTTTAACCAAGATTCATAATGCCCCTCGTTACCATCATTATTCCGAGGGTTTGTCAAGCTTTGTTATAAGTCTGTGTCACGAGGGATCGCTGTTTTATTCTCGAGTTATATTTTGATATCCCAAGGCTGGAGATATAACCAAGCCCTCACTTTCTTGACTGCCAGAATTCACATTCCTTAGTTCTCTTGGTGAAGTTACATAAATAGAAATATACAATAAGAAACAATGTATGAGTTGAATAAGGGTGAAATAAAATAAGTAATAATAAAGCCACTAATATAGACTGCAGTCTATCATGTCGACTTATTCTTATAGCCAAGCTTCGAACTTTTACCGTTAAAAAAATATATCAGTTATAATGTCCGTTTACCCTGTGCTCTGTGTCTGTGCCTGTGATTCTGAATATTTGTTTGTGAACTGTCCAAAGCGCCAAGCATGTCATGGCATGCGGTCCTTTGGCAATCTGGAGATTTTTCAGATCGTCGTTAACCTTCCTTTGCCCCGGAGTTCATTATTTAATGGCCTTTTACGACCTCCAGATGCTTGGTGCTTGTGGGAGGTAGCGGGTTTGAGGGTGTTTTTTATCGATTATTATTTAAGAAAAAATATTGGCAGAATTATTTTTAATATAAATTTTTGGAAAAAGGCCTATATATATACAACATTATCTCCGATTTATAGCACTCAGCCATTGGTGTAATTTCCACATTCCTGTGATGGGGATGAGACAATTCACTGTCTGAAACACATCCCAAATTTTTCGTATTACACTAATGGGAAAAGCCATTCCGATTTACGAAATTTCGTTTGACGTTTTTTTTAAATAAAGCATCCCTTTCATCAATCAAGGGATACCTGGATGTGCACCACCGTACCCAACTTAGTGCAGCATGTGTGTGTAAACGAATTTCATGTTGTATAGTTGTGATCATCACCGTATTTTACGTTTTGCTTAATGGTGGTCTTCATCCTCTCTTGCAGATTGCAGAAACCAGAATATGATGCTCACCAGTAATTGTATAAAAAGAGGTCAGCTATTCCTGCCACCCATATACATTGCAAAATATGCAGTGGTTCCCCATTGCAAATGTATAAAGTCCATGAAGTGCCAATTGGATGGTGTTGGTTGTGGTTGCATAAAATAATGGAACATTTCCCTTGTTTTCATTTAAACATTTTAAAATTTAGTTTACCCAGGAATCCATCACTGAGTTTTAAGATTTGATTTCACGGGGGTTTTCTCAGTTGGGGGAAATTGCTGTGCGTTTCCGAAATAAGTTATTTACTGTCTACTTACTAATTTTGATGGGACACTGACACAGAATGACCTGCTCTTCTTAGAATTACGTTAGGGATATTTAACGTCCACTGTGTAGCAGATAGCATGTACTTTTGTCACTGCGAACCTCTACAGCAAGCAGCTAAAGCACTACCACTGGGACATCCCACCCATCTGGTGGTATGGTGCTGAACTTTATTCAGGTATATTGCGCAGCATATGTATGTTTGTAGAACTTATTTCACTCTCTACATAGCCAGCCGTGCTAATTGGAGGTGCGGGGGAAGGGCAACAAACTAAACACAAAAAGCAGTTCTAAAGAAATTAGTTTTTACAGTGGTGATGTGCTGTGGTGGACGGTATGTGACGACCTTACTCGTACCACTTGCAGGAAGTCTATGGCAGCCAATGGTCCAAATGTCCTTATGTGAAAACAAATTGGTGGTGAACTTCAACACGTCCAGCATCTACAGCGAGAAGTACCACGTCATTGTTCAGCCGGATCAGGGGTCGCAATGTGGCAATCGTCAACGACTTGAACAGCGTATCAATGAGGTGAGAGGTCGTCCACCTCCCCTGTCCCCTCTCATCTCACTGGAGACGACTCCCCTCGGTATGCTGTTCTCATGTCTGGGGTGGAGCACCCAGTTTCTACCTTGTAATTAATTGGAATCAACCTAAAGTGCTCAGGTATCTTGACGATCAACCGCTCACTGATTGACTCCAGTCACTCGCTCACTTACTGGTGGTCGGTTGCCTCCTTATCGCTCTTCTTTTGCTTTACCGTGGTTGCTTTTCTGCGAACCTTCCTCATTGATTCCTCCACCCATGTTGAGGACACGGTCTACCAGACATTTGACTGTTTCCTCTGATCCACCACACTGTGTTAACCCAGGAAAATGCAGGTCACAACAACACACTCACTAATTCACCCATCTAACCATTCACTCACTCAGTCACCACACTGCTGGTCAAAATAGTTTTCATTTTAACACATAGGCTTTCGCGACCAATATCATCCATAGAGGGGTTTTTTTGGGGTTAGATTGCGTAAATATATAAATGTGTCATAAATCCACCGTCACCCGACACAGCCAATAAGTAAGGTTTGTCACGTTAACAAAACGTGCCACTTAGTTGCTGCTTCAGCACTCCGCTGTGTTAAAGAGTAAACCCACAACAGTTACAATTTATATATATACGTGCTCTAACCCAACAAAACCTTATGAATAATATTGGTTGCGAAAGCCTACAAGTTCAATTGGAATTTCCTCCCATCGCCTCTTTCCCCAAGCTCTTATAATTTTCTGCAATATCAGAGATTTGTTGACTGTGATCTATTGGGCCCTTGTTTAGTAACTGTGTTTACAAAAACAAATTTTTGAATGAGTAACCAAGATGTGTCAAGCGCCCAGCAACCGTTCTTGTGATGGGAGGTTTTTTATTTTTTGCTGGTACCAAGTTACGTACAGCTCCTTCATTATCGCTGTCTTTGTAAGAACTTTGAGTCATGTACTCATGCGTGAATTTTTTCCAGGAACTCTAGTTTCCTGATGTGTACAAAATACTCAGGAATTGGCTATGTGTCCCATTGGTAACACGTCCCAATGTAGAACCTTCCTGAAACCGAGTCTAGACTCATGCGAGGCTGCCGTGGATAAATATTTATCATGACCGTTTCAAACTCATGTGTTATTGGTAACCATAAAGAATAGTGTCCAAAACAACATTGACTATATTCTTGGTTCTTTCGGTAAAGTCACGTAGAAGGGAAACAATAAAACAATAAAAATATTTTAATTATTTTATAATATTTTATAATAAAAATATTGTAATTATTTTATATTTTATAATAAAAATATTTTAATTATTTTATTGTTTCCATTCTACGTGACTTTACCGAAAGAACCAAGAATATGAATCCCTGCAGTCACGAAAGCTTTAAATAAAACCATTGACTATGTGTTATATAATGTAGGCCCATAGTCTAGCAGCAAGACATAAATGCAGGATTTCATGTTAATGGTATTTCGAGACTCCAAGAGCCCAGAATAGTCTTGTGTTCACAAGATGTACAACAATGAAGCAAATAGAAATGGGAACACAAAAACCAAAATGGCACCATGTTTAGGAAGAAATAAAAAACAGTGCACAAACATAAATCACTATCAAAATACATTTCCTGAAATTAAGTTTGCTCAAATAATTTTTAAATATCCTTCACAGTAAAAAAAGTTAAAGACCATAAAAATGGATTCAGGCTGATAATTGCACAATAATCCAAACTGACAAGGATTTATATCAAATAAAACAATTTTTGTTGAGAATTATCCTTGTTTAGCACAAGTATGTGTGTTGTTTTCGTTCCGTGCATATGCATGGCATGCACAGGTCCTTGCTGCGGTTTGCATTTGTGTTATTATTTACAATTGCAGACCAAGGATCAGAGATCGATGCTTTCCGACATTGACAAGGGCCTCCATGATTGCCTCATCTTTATGGAGGTGCGTGCACGAGAGAAGCCGAATGGTGCTCACCGGTGATTCCCCCATGGCTCCCTGTGATCAACCACTGCCCCCTTGGTCATGACACAGAGTCAAAGCGATTTCCGGCTCAAATGAGCATTGAGGCAGTACCCATCTCCTGTTTACAGCTGAGCGAGTGAAGGAAATTCCATATTATACTCTTTGGTTCTATTCGGTAAAGTCACGTAGGTAAAAAATAAAACAACAAAAATCACGACGTTTCGGCCACAACACAAGTGGCCTTCATCAGGTGAAGGGACCGGACTGTCCAGAGGACAGCGTTGGAGTGAAGACAGCCAAGCCCAGGTCGCGTCCTTTAATGTGTGGGGGAGGAAACCAAAAACGCCTTGACAAAGGAATTAGCATAAAATGATGTAGCATGAAATGATGTACTGGACTGGCACGGGGGGGGGGGGGGGGAGTTTACATAATGTTGGTGTGAAGGGAAATAAGCTGCTGTGAAAGTTTGGGATACCACTACTTGAATAAATATACTGCACAATTGAAAAATAGTTTAACGTTTGGTATGATTTAGAAAATCTTTCCAATGATTGCTTAATTTGAAACCATCCTCGGTTGAAATTGTATCCGTGTTTGTAAATCTGAATTGCCTCGTTACTTTACCGAATAGAACCAAAGGGTATGGATCCTTGCAGTCACGAAAGCTTCAAATCTAGAATTGGAATTCCATATTCCTATGGTGGGGGGGGTGAGTCTTATCGCTAGGACTGTCACTCCTGGCTTCCACAATGTGGTTGAAATTATATTTAATCTGAATGAATGATGGGCTGAATCAGCACCCCCAACAATAATTCGACCCACAAAATTTCTATAGCGAGCCACTCTCCGCTGCTGAGACACCTGGCTAGTAGATGGGACAGCTGATTCACTATTGTGGATTTGTTTAACAAAGTATTTTTGCTGTTTGTGTTAAGTGCATATGCATGTCGTGCATATAATGTTTTTTGTGGTTTGCATTCATGTTATTATTTATAATTGCAGACCAAGGTGGAGCGGAAGTCGGTGATTTTTGACATTCACAAGGGCCTTCAAGAGTGCAATCTCTCCATCGAGGTGCGTGCATGAGAGAAGCTGGACGGCGCTCACTGGCGATTCCCCCATGGCTCTCTGTGATTACCACTGCCCCCTCGGTCATGACACAGAGTCATAGCGATTTCCGGCTCAAATGAGCATTGAGACAGTGCCCATCTCCTGTTTACAGCTGAGCCAGTGATGGAAATACAATATTCCTATGGTGGGGGTGAATTTATCCACAGGATAACTACTGTTGAATCCCGCAATGCGTTTTTTTCCTTCATTTTATTCACCCTGAATAGATGATTGGCTGAATCAACCGCCCCAAAGAGTATTCAACCTACAACTTTCTGATTGCGATCCGCTCTCTCTGCCACAAAGCCACCTGGCTGGTAGATGGACAGCTTATTCAGCAATGTGCATGCCCCTTCTCTCACACAGATCATTCCGTTCTTTGAGGCCTGCAAGAATGACTGTACGAGGAAACTGGTGAATGTAACAAAGTGTTGCTCCAGAGGTCCAAAAGGTACTCATCTCATTTTACAGCCCCGAGCCAATGGAGGAACTCCACATTCCTATCATTCAGATGCCTCAATCCGCACGATATAATTTATTGGGGTGATCGGACTTTTGCCAATGCAGCTCCCAAGTTTTGGAATGCTTTGTCTTTGCTAATAAGACAATCAAAATCGCCATCTATATTTAAGTCTGTCTTGAAAACTCACCTCTTCAAACGGGCCTGTACCCCCCAGTTCTGGCCATTGACCCTTCTGTTTATTTCCTGCTTTCCATACATGGTGCATTGGAAACTATGGATGAAATGTGTCTTACAAATGTAAATCTATATTATTCATAGGACAGCCACTGTTGACTTCCCCACTCAAGTGTAGAAATGTTGATGCCCATAGAAATATTGCAAATGTTTGCATTTTAAATTTAACACGTAGCATTTTTGCAACCTGTTGCAGTTCATCATTGTTTTTTTTTTTTAAGAATTGTCAACTACATCCCCATGCCCAGGTAAATATACTATTCAAGATGCGTGTTCACATGAAGCGACCATAGAGAAGCAGTTTGTCTCAGAAATAATTCGGTAGAACATACACTTCCTTACCACATCCGTCTCCACATCTCATCAGCAATACGGCCTTCTGCGGGAGGGTGGGAAATATTTCATCAGCATTGGTTTAATACAAGCAAGGTCATGACTGGTTTTGACATTCATTGTCTCTCATTACCAGTCAGGCTTGCTTCAAACAATGCTGGTTAACTGCCTTTAGATATTGGTCCGAGATAGACGCAACGTTATATAATTTGTATAAGTATGCTGCTGTAATGATGCAATCCCTTGAGTCTGTGTTGCTGACAGAATGGGAAAAAGCTTCCTTTACTTTCTACGTGGACGAATATATTAAGAAGGCAAATTTATCATGCAATATACCTCACCAAAAAAGCAAACTACAGTTGATTGGTCATTGCTCATCGATCTCGATGCCCAGCAAAACATAATGGAACATTTTGTATTTGTTTTATATTTAGAATTTACACATAAGCTGAGATATGAAGGTAAATTTATGAAAAGTTTTTTTAAGGCAGTGGCAGTTATATTTTTTATAAATCCCAAATGGCATCATTTGGTGTATAAATACACAATGTAACTACGGTGACCATTGTCATTCTTTCATATGGCTGATGTAGATGCAAAGCAATAACTTCAATTTCACATTCGGGTGGTCAAGCCAGATAACCACGTCAGCAGCGCGGAATATATCGCTGTAATGTCTCATTAATAACTTTTTGTTTCATTAATCGCTTTTTCCATTATTAATTATATTTCCCACATCAGTTCCATTCGAAGTCAAAGGCATTATCCTGACTGGTGTGGCGGTCCTCCTGCTATGTCTTCTTCTCTTCGTCGTCATTGTCTGGAGAAGTGAGGAGACGCTGCAAATTACAAAAACTCAACACAATTGTCAATAACATGGTGGAGTGCATAAGAGTTGGAGACTGCACTATACAAAATATACATTATAGGGAGCTTATAAAAATAATGTTAAGAATTTTCTTGATTAAGGCTTGGCATGTGAACCCATGGGATATTGAGTAACAGCCAAACCCTTTCTGGCTAATAGCACCCTTACTGGCTAATTGCATCATGGGTAACTGTGTTGCTCTCATTGAAGGCCCATTGGTGTTGCACATGTGCACCAAATTTGAAATTTAATATTACATTCTTTATCTGTTGTTGGATGAAATGCTCTACCACCACTTCTGTAGTCGTTGTACACCTGCCTAGTCATACCTATACTTCAGGGTTGCATAATTTTGATTATGAATTATGTTTTAGTTTTTTTATCTAAAATATTTCACCTGTGAAATCCCTTGATGGAAAAACCCTAACCCAAAGGTGTCCAGGATGCTAGTTGACACACATTACCGTATACAGTATGCATATGTACAGTGAGGTAATGGTTTTGACTTGCTAATTGTTTAACCATACTAACCTCTAATTTGCATGTCGACATGTTTTGTTTAGTTTCTATAATTGAAATTATTTTTTTCAAGTGATACCCACATGCGATGCATTGTCCATGCTTGTTTGCAGAAAAAGTTGCATTTATCCCTCCAGAAAATATCTGTCCTGGGATCCAACCTGGTACGTATTTATGTTGAACTTCTTTCTCACCGTACGTAGCAACCCGAGCTAATCGGAGTTACAATGTTTTTATTTATCCAGAAAAGTATTCCTGAGTCTCTAACTTGTATGGCATTCCAGACGGCCGTGTTATTATACAGTGTCTTTGACACGTTATTTAACGGTGTTATTGACACGTGATATTAAACGGTGTTATTGAGACGTGTTATTAAACGGTGTAATTTACACGTGTCTTAAAACGGTGTAATTGACACGTGGTATTAAACGGTATAATTGATACATGTGTGTTTTCGTTTGTGCACATTCACCACTGGCAAGTCAATTGTTTTGTGTTTACTAAACGTTAGTAGTTCAGTTAAGAAAGACAAAGTGAGTACTTACTGAAATAAGCATTGAGACATTGCTCATCTCCTGTTTGTACCCCTGAGCCAGTGGTGAACATTTCATATTCACATAGCAGAGGCAAGTCTCTCTGTAGAAAAAACACTTCACATTCTGCACAAAGTGGCACTCATTTTCTTTACCCTCGAAGAATGATGGACTGAGTCTACCCCCAACCAATATTTAAACTTACAAGCTTCCAATTACAAACCACTGACTCGCTGGTTAAATGTAAAATTTGAAAAGTGAAAATAAAAAAGTAGTAATTTACATGTGAAGAGTTGAAAAATACAATTCAGTTAGGAAACCAACGTTTTGTGGTGCCTTTGCCGGATGGACAAGGTAGATGATCATCTGTGTCACATGTGGGTTATATGTGCAATATTTAAACAATGTCATGCCACTTAACATGGCAATTATCAGCTTTACAACTATAGAACATACCTAATCAACTAAACAACTGTTGTTTTGTTCCAGGTAAACGCCCAGATGAAGTGCGATGTGAGTTGTTGGACACAGTGTGGCAAATAAAAATGAAGCTTGAATTCCTGTTTTTGTTTTTGCTGTAAAAAAAACTTGATTGGTATTTTCATTTCTGTTTATAGCCAAATATATCATAGACAAAGGTTCTGTTTTAATTATTATAATTAAATACTAATGTTTGATAGTCATCATTAAAAAGACGTAAGGCAGCATTTGCACCAGGTCTATGTTGTGCTACTCATCTTAAATAATGGAACACTTTTACACAAACAACTTAGCTTTTTGTCATCCTCAGTGCAAAGATTAAAATGAAATCCAAATCATCATCCCTCCGTACTTGGTATTTAAGACATACATAAAGTATGTAATTTAATTCCTAAAAATAAACAAAGACAATTTGAATATTTACCAAAAACTGGTGTGTGATAAATGGTGCTTATATCAAAATGTGTACTTTATTATAACTTTTTCGTTTGTCACTATAGATGAACGAAAAAAGTGTACGTGAGCGTGCAGTATTTCACGTACATAGTGTGTACTCCATGAAATAGCTGTGTTTTGTCACCTGTGTTAGCAAAGCAAACAAACAAAATCAGGCCGTGTTGATCGAGAATGAAAATCCGTGTAACCAGTGGTCTAAATGGTTCTGCTATGAAACCGATTCATCCGGCTGCCCGTGTTTACTACCATTTCCCCCTCCGGAGACATTGTGATGTAGCAATAGGAACCGTTGTAAAAAGTGCCGGTAGACGTTTTATATCCAGCGCTAACACTCTGTTTCACGTACAGCTGACGCTCGCGATTTTTCATGTACAGCAGTCACAAACATGTTTCTGTTTTGTTTTTCAGTTCCCTACCATAAAGTTCTGCTGCTCTACTCCATGGACCACACTTTGTATAAGAATGTCATCTGCTCTCTCGCCTCGTACCTACAAGGTTTCTGTGGCTTTGAGGTGATCCTTGACCAGTTAGAGACGAAGAACATCGCTCAGATGGGTAACATGAACTGGCTGCAGGCACGAAAGACTGAGATGGAAGACCCTGGAAACATGATCATGGTCGTGTGTTCTCGAGGAGTGATGGTCAAGTGGAGGAGAGCCATGTGTAAGGAAGGAGAGGCCTCCAGCAGAGAAAACGATTGCCTTATTGGTGACATGTTCACTCCAGCACTTGGCCTCATTGCCAACGACTTCAAAAACCCCATTGCTGCCAGAAACAAATACATTGTGACTTACTTTGAGGAGTTTAGCAGTGAAGATGACGTGCCTGAGATATTACGCATGGCGCTGCAATATAAGCTTATGACCAACATGCGAGATGTGTACTTCAGGATCCGCGGGAAGGAGCAATGCGGGCCAGGGATTGTCTGCAAAGTCAATGGCATCTCCGAGGACGACTATCACACCAGTACCACAGGGAAACATCTATATGAAGCTATTAACAAATTTAAAATGTTCCAGAATTCCAATCCCACTTGGTTTGATAACCTGGATGATATCCCATTTGTATCCATAGGTCACGTAAGAGATGAGGTGGAAAGAGATGGTGCGATGCAACACTGCTTGCATGCAAACCTCCCTGAATTAGGTTGTTATAAAAGTAAAATTGATCTGGCTATTCCACGAGATATCATGCAGTCTCACCTGGTGAAACCACCCTTACCAGACAACACAAGCGCATCACCAGCTCTGGCTCAGTCAGATAGCTTCTCCAGACCATTTGTTGATCAGTGGCCGGCATTCAGAGGGCATCAGTATAACTACTCTGCTTGGGAACAGCAGCACATCCTGGCATCAAATGTTCAGAGCTCCCTCGATGCCAGACCCAGAAGTGAGGGCTATCACTCTTCAGGTTCAGAAAATGGCCGCTGTTCGACGCCGCTGACCTTGGACGTGTCGCACGACGGCCGGGCGATTGAGCCTGCAAATTTACGAAATGGCCCTCGAGAGTTTGGCGAGAATGCCGCCCTTGTCGATAACACAGGCCGCAAAGTCGGATGGCCCTTGGTCGACAATAAGGACAGTGGAATAGATGGGTTGAGTGCGGATGTGGACTCTTGCAATGCGTCTGGCTCGATGATGAAACTCTTGTACGAGTTTCAGCAGTTAAACCTCAGTGAGCATCTGAAGGACCTGCGGATACCTGGCGCTACTTCTGTGCCAGGCGCCCATGTGGGGCCGGCTATGCCAGACAAAATTACGCAAGAGACGATGTTATAAGTGTGACCGAAATCGAGATCAGCGCGCCACTTGATGTATTTATGTTGAACTTCTTTTGCATGGGACATAGCCAACCGTGCTCACCGAAGGTGCGGGATACTGAATCTACAGTGGCTTAAAGCAACGTGAACATTGTACACAACACAACAGGACTTCAGTAGAATGACCTACTAATTGTTGTTGCTCTGATCAAGCGGTTGGCAAATAAGAAAACATCAAATGAAGCCATATAGAAATATAGTGATCTAGTAGAAAGATGAACAATCGTAATGACAATGGTCACAGTGAACTCTTTATCTGATGGTGGATAACTGCAACTTTCTATATTTTTTACGGACACGGGTGAAGTGATCTGAAACTAATGTTATATTACATGTGCTGTGTAAAGTATGCACACGCGTTAACAGTTGTTTCAGAACACACCTCTCACTTAAGCATTGCTCTAGTCTGCAAATATGTGTAAGCTGCTGCAGGCCCTGGTGTAATCAATGAGACGGGGCTTCCTGTAAAACTTGTCCCCCCTCGTGCATCTTTGTAGCCCCCGGCGAGCCCGATACAGCTGCACCATCTGCAAACTCAACAATCATGCCACGCTTTCTGCTTCCATGCCTATACAATTGTAAATACTGTCCACGCGGAAAGCTTAAATAATGTATAAACATTGTTTATTCCTACATAATCACAAATGTTTCAGTTATTAATTTTTAAAAGTTATGTAAATAGAAATGTTACGTGTAAGTTTGGGAATTCAATGGCAGATGGATTTAAAATGTACTTATCAAGGGACAATATAAAAAATCTCTGCTGATACAAAATTAACAATTATTATTTTGAAGGCATGTTATGGGTTTTAAATGTTTCTTGTATAATTCTGAAACTGTGAATATTTAAGTTATCGTAGGTGACAACATAAATCTGATTTACAATAATTGTGTACAGTCATAAAAGAAAATAATGCAAATAAAATTGTGCCACTGTGCTGAGAATTTTTTTTTTACGTCTACATTTTTCCGCAACCCTACATCGTACAGACTCGAGCCATATACCATGCGACTCATCTCATTGAGTAACAATTAAATATTTCATCTTCTTTGGTTATTTCGGTAAAGTCACGTAGAATGAGAATAAAATTATAAATTGATAAAATAACAAAATTCTCACGACGTTTCGGCCACAACACAAGCGGCCTTCATCAGGTGAAGGGACGAGACTGGAGGACAGCGCTGGAGCGAACACAGCCAAGCTCAGACCGCGACCTTTAAACTGTGTGAGAAGAAACAGCGCCTTGACAAAGGAATTAGCATAGAATTTAGCAGTGAAATAGCTGAGTGATTAGCTTGTGACTGGTCACAGAAATGGCTATGTTAAAGTCAAAGCATACACATCCACAGAGGCACCCCTTGACAAAGGAATTAGCATAGAATTTAGCATTGAAATAGCTGAGTGATTAGCTTGTGACTGGTCACAGAAATGGCTATGTTAAAGTCAAAGCATACACATCCACAATAAATGTACTCAATATATTCAATAAGCTGAGCTATTAACAGTAACTGGGTATACACTACACTATATAATGAATACTATATAGTAAACCAATAAAAAACTTAAATATCAATTACCTCAATGTTATCAATCAACTCTATATTCTCCAATCAGCTAAGCTACCAACAATAAGTCGTTATACTGGTAGGAATGAAGTTGTAAACTGAGTGTACCAGCCTGCAATAGATTAATGTGTCCGTCCGTCCCCTTTCAATACTTTCAATACTTTAACGAAGTGATCTCGTGCTGTTGGGTGTAAAATTATCAATGGACAGCGCAGAGACTTGTCCTACCAGCCCACCCTGCAGGGACCTGTTGTCACAATGCTATATGGCGAAAAAATGGGTGGATTCTTACCCTCAACTTTTAGCACCACGGATAGCTACGAGTCCCGTTCAGACGGACGAGTTCATCCATGGTCGGAACGGAGGAGGGGGAGAGAGACAGCTGCGAGGCGCTGTTATACTCCATGTTGTAAACCATACCATTAACCGTGGTGTGAGAGGTATTAAGAGTCAATGCCAGCGAAAGAGCTGCGGTCTGAAGGTCATCGTAAAATACAATTAATTAAGAACAGAAATGGTTTAAAACATATTTTTAATGGATACTAAGCCAGAATCCATCTTCTCAGTTGAAATTGTCTCTGTGCTTGTATATGTGAATGGCCTCATGAACGAATCTCATGGTAGCCGGTTGGTTTGCAAAGAACCTCCGTCTTGGAGAAGTCAATGTCATGTGAGCCCACTGAATTATAACAGTGATCTGCCACGGCAGAGGAGTTCGTTCTACCGTGTTTCAAGTCTGCTTTATGTTCGCGGAAGCGGTCCGAGATATGTCATTTGGTTTCTCCAATGTAGCTACTACCACAGAGGCACTTTAGTTTGTAAACGCCCGGGTACTGTATGTCTGGAACAGCATCTTTTACAGATGGAACCAGATCACGGATTTTATGTACTGTGTTGAATCGGACCTGGATCTTGTGTTTATTCAGGATTTTGGAGATCTTTTTAGTGACCCCTGCAATGTAGGGTAAGGTGATGGTTTTGAGTGGCTCCACAAGAGGATCCTTCTTCATGACTGGAGTGATGGCTTTGCGGATTGTGTAGTCGGAGTAACCATTAGCCCTGAGAGCCTGGTGTACGTGCTTGAGTTCACTGGTAATGTGTTCCTGGTCGGAAATGCATTGGGCTCAATGGTATAGAGTCTTGATGAGGGAGTTCTTCTGGGATGGATGGTTGTGGGAATCCGGTTTCAAGTAAGCATCTGTATGGGTAGCTTTCCTGTAGACGGAGTGGCTCATTGAACCATCATGTCTCCTTTTAATTAAGACATCCAAAAAGGGTAGTTTGCCATCTTTTTCGACCTTCATGGTAAATCTGATGGCTGGGTGTGTGGAATTGATGTGGTCGCGGAATTGGTCTAGAGCAGGCTGGCCATGTGGCCAGATGACAAAAGTGTCATCAACGTACCTCTTCCATAAGGTCGGGCGTAGAATGGCAGTCTGGATGGCGTCAGTTTCAAATTTTTCCATGAATACGTTGGCTACAACTGGAGATAGGGGGGAGCCCATTGGGGTGCCTTCAGTTTGTAGAAAGTTCCATTCCAGGTGAAGTAATTGTTGGTTAAGCAATGTCTCACCAGGGGGGGTACATCAGTATGCAGTCCTTGATGAACCAGGTCTTCATTGATAACGATGGTGTCAGGTACCGGGACTTTGGTGAACAAGAACACCACATCAAAACTGACAAGCAGGTCGTCTGGGGACAGGGAAATGCCTTTGATTGTCGATACCAGGTGAGTAGAATTTAGTACCGCAGAGGTGTTTTTTTCCAGTGAAAGGTCGCAGTATATCAGCAAGAAAACGTGCCAGTTTATAGGTGGGGGAGTTGATAGTAGAGACGATAGAATTGTGATATTTAACGACTTATTGTTGGTAGCTTAGCTGATTGGAGACTATATAGAGTTTATTGATAACATTGAGGTAATTTATATTTTAGTTTTTTATTGGTTTACTATGTAGTATTCATTATATAGTGTAGTGTATACCCAGTTACTGTTAATAGCTCAGCTTATTGAAGAATGTATTGAGTACATTTATTCTGTGGATGTGTATGCTTTGATTTTAACATAGCCATTTCTGTGACCAGTCACAAGCTAATCACTCAGCTATTTCAATGCTAAATTCGATGCTAATTCCTTTGTCAAGGGGTGCCTCTGTGGATGTGTATGCTTTGACTTTAACATAGCCATTTCTGTGGCCAGTCACAAGCTAAACACTCAGCTATTTCAATGCTAAATTCTATGCTAATTCCTTTGTCAAGGCGCTCTGTTTCTTCTCACAAAGCTTAAAGGTCGCGGTCTGAGCTTGGCTGTGTTCGCTCCAGCGCTGTCATTCAGACAGTCTCGTCCCTTAACCTGATGAAGGTTGCTTGTGTTGTGGCCGAAACGTCGTGAGAATTTTATTGGGTTATTTTATTTTATCAATTTATTATTTATTCTCATTCAACGTAACTTTACCGAAAGAACCAAAGAAGATGAATCCTTGCAGTCACGAAAGCTTTAAATCGAAATTTAACCGCCTCTACGGGGAGGGATTCCACACAACCTTAAGATCATTCAACAGACTCCGGGATAAGAAGGCTCAACTAATCGAGTCTCTCACCTTTCTGAAGAGATGCCGCGACTCTAAGGTAATACCAACCGCATTCACACTAACCTCTGCTGCTGCAACTTCTCTCAATGCAAAACGAATTCTAGCTAGAACTAGCTTCGCTCTCATCTCAGAAAAAAATCAGACTTACGTGCACCGAACTCGATCAGTTAGACAAGACACTCTACAAATCACACTTAACATTGACAGCAACAATGTCTACATCGGATTGGGAACATGTAGACAATATGACTACCTTTTCTGCTGCCACTATGTCGACCAAATGTAGGGACAATTTGATTTCCAAATTCAATCACCTCTCCAACAAAAATCGGATCCACACACCGAAAAGATAGACGTCAGCAAAGTCGTAATTAATCGCAGCAACAGTTCCATTTCTGATGGTCTGAAATCCGTTTTAGCTAAAGATCTAAACTTTGCTGTCACACCGAGACACATACCGGTTAATGATATCATTGCCCATGTCGACGTTGCACTCAAAGGCTTGAGTCACATCTCTGCAGACGTAGCATAATCTGAAATCGCTGCAACCCTCAAAAACGCTAAATTGCCACCTAGCAACATCAGCAAAGATGAACGCTTTGAATTATCTCAATTAAAAAAGAGAGATGATATTGTCTTCCTCTCAGCCGACAAGGGCAATGCCACTGTCATCATGGACAAAACAGAATATAACAACAAAATTCAAGAACTGATTCAATAGCATTAATTGATCAGACCAAACAGTTCTCGTTGAAACCCTCTGCTAACAGACCACCAAGATTATATGGCCTTCCAAAGATACACAAAGAAGATACACCCCTTCGTCCCATCGTCTCTACTATCAACTCCCCCACCTATAAACTGGCACGTTTTCTTGCTGATATACTGCGACCTTTCACTGGAAAAAACACCTCTGCGGTACTAAATTCTACTCACCTGGTATCGACAATCAAAGGCATTTCCCTGTCCCCAGACGACCTGCTTGTCAGTTTTGATGTGGTGTCCTTGTTCACCAAAGTCCCGGTACCTGAGACCATCGCTATCATTGAAGACTTGGTTCATCAAGGACTGCATACTGATGTATCCCCCCTGGTGAGACATTGCTTAACCAACACATACTTCACCTGGAATGGAACTTTCTACAAACAAACTGAGGGCACCCCAATGGGCTCCCCCCTATCTCCAGTTGTAGCCAACGTATTCATGGAAAAATTTGAAACTGACGCCATCCAGACTGCCACTCTACGCCCAACCTTATGGAAGAGGTACGTGGATGACACTTTTGTCATCTGGCCACATGGCCAGCCTGCTCTAGACCAATTCCGCGAACACATCAATTCCATACACCCAGCCATCAGATTTACCATGGAGGTCGAAAAAGATGGCAAACTACCCTTTTTGGATGTCTTAATTAAAAGAAGACATGATGTCTACAGGAAAGCTACCCATACAGATGCTTACTTGAAACCGGATTCCCACCACCATCCATCCCAGAAGAACTCCCTCATCAAGACTCTATACCATAGAGCCCAATGCATTTCCGACCAGGAACACATTACCAGTGAACTCAAGCACGTACACCAGGTTCTCAGGGCTAATGGTTACTCCGACTACACAATCCGCAAAGCCATCACTCCAGTCATGAAGAAGGATCCTCTTGTGGAGCCACTCAAAACCATCACCTTACCCTACATTGCAGGGGTCACTAAAAATATCTCCAAAATCCTGAATAAACACAAGATCCAGGTCCGATTCAACACAGTACATAAAATCCGTGATCTTGTTCCATCT